ACTTCTGTGGCATCAGAGCCCAGAAAGAAAGGGACATCATGTCAGCAACATCACAGATAAGGCCATTGCTCTGTCAGTACATGGACCTGAAAAGGGCAAACTTCAGCCCAGAGCTATAATCATATGAAAAGTCTGCTCAGTCTGGGCCTGGGACATGCCCAGTGCTGGCACAACCTTCAGGGAACTCGGCTATAAAAACCCTAAGGTGTATTCCCCCCCACCCCAAGCCTGTAATTTAACTAAATTTGGGCAGATTTTCATATGAGATACCAAAGGCTGATCCTAGGCACAAAGGTCACCTGCTGCCAGATTTTAAGTCCTTGCTCCAAAGTGTGAAGGCAATAGAACTTCCCAAAGAAAAGATGGTTACAATTTTTGTAATGTAAGCGAAAGTTGTAATTTTCCCTACCTCTTCTGGGAAATAGCTGAACTATTTAGGCTGATGTTTTCTAAAATAATTCTGTCTGAAGTGGGTAGCAAGCCCTGTATGGTTAAAGGGGTCTTTTAACAGGGGAAGTGTTAGACGACCTTAATAATGCATGTATTTATATGCATGTATGTGTAATACACACAATACACATACACTGATATACTCATAACCAAATATAATTAGTCCCAATGTGGACCTTAGTATGGGGAAAATCTTCACTGTTGTCAGCTTTCAAACTTGACAAATATTAATTGATTCTTACTCAATGAACTTAGTTTTCCATCCCTTAACTGCTTCCTGACTTATGCTGACAAATGGCTATTCAACCCACTTGGTTTCCTTCACATCCTCTTGTGGGAAACTCAAAAGTTGACTGAAAGAATAAACAAAGCTAACCTGGTCATTATTCCTTACATTATTAATATGCTGAAAAACTTTTGATGGATTTGTGAGCACATTTTTTCTTTGTAGAGCCATGTTGCTTTGTTCTCATCATACCCAGTTCTTCCAGGGTGTTTTTATGCTATTTTTACTACTACTTTCATCCAATTTATTAAGTACCAAAACAAGACTTGCAGGTTCGTAATTCCCCAGATTTCCCCTTGAGCCTTTTTGAAAACAAGAACAATATTTGCTCCCCTCCAGTCCTCAGTACAGAATAGGAGGTTGACTTTAATGAAAGTATGTATTGTTTGGCAGCCCAGCCAATTTTTATTCTGGAATAGCTTCAGAACGCTTGGCTGTAGACTTCTAGAGCCTGGGGACTTGCACTGTTCTTTAACTCAGCTGGGGGGGTTTTCAGCACTTCCTCTTTTGACACTTCAGTCCTTGACATTACTTCTTTATCACATGTAAACAGTACACGTTCCCCAACATCCTTTGAGGCTGTAAAGAAATCATTAAGGGCTCCTTTCAGCAAACCCCTTAAGCACAGACAATTTTTAAGCATATGTTTATGCTCCATCAAAGTCAACAGAACTTCTGTGTTAGTTTATTTTTAATGCCCTTATCCTTTTCTACTTATGTTTTTACCACCTCATGGTCCACCAAACTCGGCAATTCTATTATGGACATCTTGCTCCTAATAAACCAAAAGGATTTTTCCTGTTTTTTATGAGAGGGGGTGCTCTTCAAATTTCACTACATTCTAGTTCATATTTTTGTCTTGTCCCGTTCTTGCCCAAGCCTGTCGGCTTTACTAATTTCTCAAGGGCCAATATTTCAACTGAGTGATGATGTTCATTAACCGAACTGGCTTTTAAACTGCCTCCTTGTTTGCAGGGTTTCTGTAACTGCTTTCCTCATGCTCAAAGAGACTCCAGGTTTAGTTAAAATCAGCTGGAGGGAGCTGTCTACCCAAGATACTCACTTCTGCTTCTCTGCCTTGTACTGCTGTGTGCAGTCATCAAACAATTTTTGATTCATCTCCATGAACAGCTTCAATGCATTGTAGATCAGCCCATGAATGGTCCTGCAAAAGGCAGAAGAGGGATAGTGTCACTTACAATATCTTGATGGTATTTGTCCCTTATCCTGCCCCTCCAGAGCAGGGGATTGGGTTAAGGGGAAGATAACAGCTCTTGCTGACAATTCAGTTAGAGCTAGAGCTCTCATTCTGAAAAGAACAGAGGCTGCATCCATTAGATTAACTGCAGGACAGGGATGACAGTCTTGGCAAGGCTCCCTTTACATTGGTTAGGACCGGAGAGCCCTAGAGCCAGAACTTGCAATTCTTCCTGGGCAGCTCCCAGCACAGAGGTCAGTAGGTAACAGACATCCCAAATCCCTGGACTTTCCCCAAGAGAAGCTAGAGAGGAAGGAAGGTGGGTGCCAGCATAGGGCTGTTCCCTGAAGCATTGGTTCTCAACTGATGCAGAAGTGCCATGGGTAGGTATGAATGGGGCTGGGGGAAGTCAGCTGAACCACTGCTGAAAGTTTGCACAGTTGCATCATGCCGAGTCCCCATCCTGCACCCTACAAACTAACCTCCCAAACAGAAAGCAATACAGCCATCTTAGTGCAGTACCACAGAGGAGCAAATACCTCAGCCAAGATTCAGAGCTAGTCGGTGAGGTCACTGTGCCACATTAAGAAGGCTAGACAAGTTCTTATCTGGGAGGCAGTTTGTGCAGAGTTCAGGTAACTATACAGTGCTGCCCCATACCAACACTGCATAACACACACCTACACTACACTGCCTCTGATCTTCCTGGTCATGGAGATCATTTTGCAAGTATTAAGGTGAGTGATGAGATCAGAACAGTAGAGAAGCTCTACCCTAGAGGCCTTTGTTCAACCTAGTTTACAACCTCAAAGGATGGGTCCTGCAGTGAACCAGGTATATTGTTCCATTTCGCCAAAACTGAATCACTCAGTTACCTCCATCACTGTGCAGGGCCCAGCCACCTAGAATTTCCATCATCCTAAAACTTAACAGCATTTCAGAGATGGAAATTAGCACCAAGAGGGATGCTAATTTCCTGCCTCCTTCTTTTGGTGATGCTACCTCCTTCTTTTGAACCAAGAATATTTGCCATGGGTCATATTGTATTTAAGCATGATACAAGCTTCTGAGGCAGAGTATGTCTTGTGTGCAAAGGGCTGCGCATGTCTGTGGTGCCAGTAAATAATAACAGACTGGAATCATTCCTGGAAGAAGCACCACTAAAAAGCAAGATGACAAGAGACTCCCAGTGTCTGTGCTACCTTGGACAAGTCCCCCCATCTGGGCCTCCTTTCTCTTAAGTGGGAACAATGGTACTAACCTACTTTTAGAAGCAGACTGCAATAAAGGAAGAGCTACTAGATGCTCTTTTTTTGTTATACATGGCTTCTGAGCAAATGGGCTGGGGGAAGAAAGGCCAAATTCACTAAGTCATTCCAAGCATTCTAGGAAAGCGAGGGGCAGAAATGCAGGGAGGGACAAATTAACAAAAGAAAAGATTCCAGCAAAAATTGGAAGCAGTCATGAAAAGAGGGCAAGAACTTTCCCATGGGTCAGGAAGACAAAGTAGTGGGAAGGAGAGCACAAGAGGAATTGAGGGCTGGTGAGCTTAACACATGTCCCCAGCTCATACAATGACTGCAGATAAAACTCAGGTTTGTGTCTCTTTACAAGAAAGAGGGAAAAGGAAGCAGAACCAAGAGAAAGCAGTGTTGCAAACACATTTTATTCTGCAGTCCATGTTTTTGGCAGGACAGAAACACACACCATCCCAGCCCTCAATCCTTCCCTTAGATTTTATTATTTTATTTCCAATGTATGACAGAGGCCTGAAAGGGGGACAGGTGGAAAAGTTGTACCTTTTTGTTTTTTCCCCTCAGAAATATCAGCAATGTTACCTTTGCAATGTAATCTTTCTGGGCTTTTGTTAGAGAACTCAAGAATCTCAGTTGTAGATTATGAGCTTCCTTAGCCATTCACAGAAGGGGCAAGAGTGTTTTTAAAAAAAAGTGAAAGACCTTTGTTAAAGATCAAACACCTTCTTAACTTTAACAAGTAACAACAAGAAGAAAAACTGGTAGGGAGCTGAAGGAAGGATGACAAGATGATCTGGTATCACAGAAACAGATCTCAAACTGAAGAATATGCAACAGCTTGTCTCCCTGGTTGGTTCTGCTTTCCTTATGCTCCTTCATATTCAGCAACCCATCTAACAATGCCTTTAATCAGCACTGAAGACCACAGAAAGATTTACTGACTTGTGAGCAGCTCCAACATTGAGCTAGACTATTTCAACCCAGCTGTTAGGCAGACTTACAGAGATATCCAGCTATCAAATGAATGGGTTGGCTAAAAAGCCACAAAGTTGTTTTTTTTTCTTCCCCCAATAGGAGCCACCTGCTCAAGCTGCTGTGACCAACTCAGTTCTTTTGATTGTACCCAGGTATTAATCTCCCTTTCAGTTCAGCAGCTGAGCACCACACTTCTTCTCCGTGAAGCCATTGAGCAGCAACACAGTGTGGCACTGCAGCTGTGTGCAAACACCTCCCCAATCCTACAGTGGGCTTGAGCCCCCCTAAACACAAACTCCTGTATTGCCTGTGGGTCACACATGCACAGAAAATACCTACTTGTTCCAGTGACTCTTGGAATTCTTGTACAGTGCTGGGAACATGATGGGGAGAATTTTGGCTGCATTGTCACTGATCAGACTCATGATGTATTCATTGTTCCAGTAGTACAGCGCCCGCTCTGCCACCTGCAGCAGGAGGGAAGCATAGGAGAATTCCACTCATCACCACACAGGCACATGCTCGGGCACTGCCCTGCCAGGAAAGTGGATTCGCAAAACTCTGAAGCAATGGCCCACTTCTGTCACCTCTGTCACAAGCATTTTCTTTCCTTGCACTGAGAGTCACCTCTCTTGGCTTCTATTCTTTCCTACATCTCTGTTATGAGTGCCTTCACCCCAGTGGGGACCCACAGGACTCTGACCTTGTCCATCCTTGGGTAGTCTCCCTATGTCACTTGCCTTCAGCTGTGCTTTTAAACACCTACCTTCAACCATCTCCCTTACTCTGAACACCTCTCACCTTTACAAATCTCTCCCATGGGCTTCCCCCATCTTAGCCCAATCTCAGGCTCCATTTCCTGTCCTTCAGGCTTTTGCACCTACTGCCTTCACCCCACCTGTACGCCTTTTCTTGTTACCTTCCACATAGTCCCAATCCTACAGCTCCTTGACCTGTCCCACAAAGTTTTTTCCTCCTCTTTTGTGGGCAGGTCAGCCAACAAGCCCACAAATCCATGCCCTCCTTTCAGGGAATGATGAAAACATCTTGCCTCTAAAAATTAAAATAAATCTGTGGCTCTATCAAATCAGGTGCTGTATGCCCCAGCCACTGGCAGATCTAGGATTTTAAAAAAGAGGGTACAGGTAGTGTGGTGTATCACCCCATAGCACACTGCATATTTTTCTCCAATTAAAAAGAAAGAAGCTTTAATAATATGCTAGAGGTGTATGGCTTTATTATTCCGGTTATGATCTGAGCAAAAACAAATAAAAGTGAGTCTGTATGGGGCTGACTGACAGCTCTAGGGTAGGGCAGGCACCTGGTCCCCAGGGTGGCGGGGTACAGCTGCTACCCCTGGGCCTGGCAACAGACAGAACTGCTCCCTGCACAAGTTCCCCAGACACTACAACCAAAGTGGCCCCTCACTTTCTTTATGCATTCTCCTTGCCACCTCAAATGTCTCCTGGCTCTATCCCACAGACCTACCCCATCATGCCCCAAACCCAGACCCAACCATCCCTCTCATGCCTCCCCTCAAATCATACCCTGTGCCCTCATTAATCTATTGCACCCTGAATTTTCCATCATGCTTCATCATCCCCAACCCTTCATCATCCCCCTCTCATCCCACTGAGTCCTCCCACCATGTGCTCAGAGGAGCAAACCTTACTCCAGCCCTCACACTCACTGCCCTCCCCCTAACCCTCTATTTCACCCTCACTGCCCTACTGTCCCTAAGCCTCAAATTCCATCTGCCTCTTACACCTTCCCACCACCATAACACCCCCGCCCCTCTTCACCTCACAGGCTCCCCTCCCCACCAGAAAAGCTTTGTGGTGCTCATGACCCCGCATCCAGCCCTCAGGTCACCCAGGAGTGTCTTCCCCTCAAAACCCCTCCCAAACAGTTCTCCCAGACCCTCACAGCATGTAGGGGTAGGACTAACTGCCCCTCTACTCATCATACGGAAGGAAATAAAGGCCTTACAGAAAGAAACAACTGGGGTTCAAGAAGGACATACTTCAGCTGTTGGTAGTGCCCCTATCCCTCTCATCCATCTATGCATAGCTTTCTGCCGCCTTGGCTGTGCCACTAGTTCAGTTCTCCATCATCTGCTGTAATGAATAACTCAGGAAAGGGTCACGCGGTAACTGACCTCTCCGTCTCATCTTTGCAACTCCCTCCTGCCTCCAACTGCTGTGCCAATGCACAACTCTGCCTGCTTTTAGCCCTCCCCGCCACGTCTCTGAATTGTTGTGGGTTCAAATCTCATAGGAACAAAGCCACGCAGTACAGGTCCCTATGTTGCAGCACACCTTCACTGGGCATGCTAGGGGGTGAGCAGAGAAACATTACCCAGAAAAGGGAACAGATAGGATAATTGTAGAAGAAAGGGTAGCCTGATTGAGAGATGGGAGAAAGTGGAAATAAAAAATCATCTTGCTGGGTGATCTGATCCCCAATGGCTTCCTGGGGGCTGGACCCAATTATCTCACAAGCCCTAATGTCTATGAAATACTACTACTACTACTACTAATACTATAAGGGTTAACACCTGTGAGGTGCACTAACAGATGAGACTAAATCAGAGACCTTGCTGAAATATAAGAATTTTATAGCCACTCAGTTACTTGTCACATAAATTTAGGTCATCCAAAACTATGCTACTTTTGACAAGACATTTCCACATTAACTGGCATTCATTATTCCTTTGCATCTTGGTGCTGCCCTCCACCATGCCTGCATCTGCATGGAATTTATGAGATCTGAGAGGCAGAAATATTATTTTCCTAAGCTTCTGTGAAATGCCCCTCATGTTGTTGTCCCTACAGCAGGGGTGTCAAACTCATTAGGCCCCACAAGCTGGACAAGTAGCATAAGGCTGGATCGGGCCCACAAACCAGCCCTGCGTACCAGATCCAGCATAAAGAGTCAATCCAACATGGGTACTGCATGCAGCATGCACATCTCCAGCCTCAAACGCTATGTTCCAGATCTGCCCCTACATCATATGTGGGGCTCATCTGGTATGTGCTGCACAAGGTGTGCAGGTCCAATTCGATGCTAATAGGAAGCAACCTGGGGCAAATGATAGGGCTCCAGGGGCTGGACCTGCCCCCGCAAACCGGATCTTTAACACCCCAGCCCTACAGGACCAAACAACAAGCAACCATGCAGAGGAGGGGGTTGCTGAATGGCTGAAGTGCCTCCCATCACTGTAGCATGAGGTCAACACCATCATCTTCTTCACTTAGTTTCACTGGAGTCATTTAGAGTATCTGATTTCCCCTACCCTTCCATCACCTAACAGAATGATCCAGTATCCCCAGTGCTAAGCCAATACAAGGCACCCACTTTGTCAGCACATAACACTGGGAATATTTGGGAGGTAGGACTTTTCCTTAGTTGACTATCCTCTGATACTTCAGACAATTAGATACTTTGATACAGTATAGGTGCAGAACTCAGCAAGGAGATGAAGCTGAATGGTACCCACCACCGTCTCTGTACCTATTGGCCACCTACAACCAGAGACAATACCATGTGCTTGCACTAGCTCTGCACTGCTGTGATACTCAGAGCTGGATAATCCTGCCTAGCCAGGAAGGACTGTTCTGATAGCTTGAACAAGTCTTTCTCAACACTTCTTCTGGATTATATTGGCTCCCAATGCCTCTTACTTTTGTGGCAGGTATCCTAGTCAGAATCCCAAATATCCTACAATTCATCAGCCATAGTTTTTGACCGAATCTCCTAACTCCTAGAGAATCATGGTTCACAATTATTTGAATGTCCTCTTTCAAACCTGAGCTGGATGCAAGCAATGTCATATTGTTTATTGAACCTGGGACCTACCTGAAAGTGTGGGCTGGAGACGCACTTGGCCAACTGCCTGAAGAGGGGCTCCATAACTTTTACAAATTCAGAGGGCTCAATCACATCTAGTATCTCCTCCAGCTCATTGAGAAACATCACTTCCTTAGGGCTATGTGTTTTTGGCCAGAACTTCAGCAAGCCCATAATTACCTGAGAAGAGACAAAGCAGACTGCCAGCATTAGGAAGCAGAATGCAAAATCATGGGCAAGGCATCCCAGCATCAATGGGTACAAAAATTTGGTGACAGCAG